GTTCCGGAGTTAGCCATTTTCCCGCCAAAAATTTTCACGGGGCCGTACGTGGCAACCACGCATAATGGGGGGCTGAATTTGATAAATTGAAGTTGTATTTGAGTTGGGGACATTCCTTAAAAGTTTCAGCCTCCCAGCTTTCTTGGTTTCCGAGCTAGCGACTCTCGTGCCAGGAACCCTCACGGGGCCGTACGTGGGAAACACGCATACCTGGGGGCTGATTTTAAAATCTTTGAGTTCTATTTGGAGGAGGAACATAATCCCAAAATTTCAGCTTTCTAGCTTTCCTGGTTCCCGAGTTAGCTATTTTCCCGTCAAAACTTTGAGGCGTTCGTACGCGGGGCCTAGACGTGCTTGAGGATTAGTACCGTTGTCCTGGGGTAGCACTTGGCTGGGGAACCTACTCGCAAAATGTTGGCCCGGAGCTTGCTTGGGTGCCGAGTTGAAATACCCGGACAGACAGACACACACAACACACACACACAGTGGGGTCGTCACAGTATATGTTTTCGCATATGTGAAAAAAGGCATAAAAACCCCTATAATGACTGAAACGTGCTGCGCATTCTAAACAATGCAGGAACTCTGATCATGGAACTGCTCCTGAAAAAAAAGTGCTATTTAAGGACGTGCTGGCAGTTCAGCTACAATTCAGTTTTTTTAGCAGAAACGTTCTCGCCACAACAGGTTATGCCATCGTCTTGGTTGCTGCTCATCAACACATTCGTCAGCACTGCTGCTCATTACTTCAGGACGGCCGGTGAAGGTGTCATCGCCTTCAGCCTCCTCCTACTGCTCCCCCGGTAAATACCTGTCTGACACCGAGCGCAGCCGTGGCTTCTTCTGGGATATTTTCTGACTTCTGTGCCCAGCAAACTCACTTGCCAAAGCAGTTTTTCGAAGAATCAGGTTCTTCAGAAAAGTAACAACAGATAAGAGAAACATCTGTGGTATACTGATGAACTTGGCTGCTTAAAAGAGATACGAACAGTTTTCTTCCGGACCGTCTGCATCTAGATCCTTAGGCCCTCTTTCCTGCACGTGTATCTGCGAAGGATCATGGTGTATTCAGAAGAGATGCTGTTTGGTCTTCTGATATTCTCTGTACTGGTACTGCGAGGTGTTTTTTCTGAAATAGCCCAGGAGCTGCCGAATCCGTGTGCCGATGCGCCATCCGAATCCGCTCGGATCATCTGCGAGCAGCTGCACAAGTGGGACAGGCAAGCACGAGTATGTTTCCTTAAACAGCTTTCACTGGCTGTCCGTGATTCGGGCTCATAAAAAAGCATTTTTTTTTCTCAGAAATTCAAAATTCGAAAAATCTGATTACTGTAATTGAGTTTCGGAAAAGCGGGTCAGGCTAGTTGTACTCAAACAGTGCTATTCATTGATATAAGGTGTAATTTACCAAAGAATTATAACGAGTAAATTGAGCCATCAGTTTGCTCTGCAGGCAAAACCACCAGTGGGATCACTTGCTGCGCTGCCACCGGCAATTCCGGGCAAAATGCGACTAGTTGCTGCCGAGTTGGCCCCAATCACTGCCAGCCCGTACCAGTGCATGGATCTCGAGTGTCTCTGCACATACCTAAAGGGTCAGTTATTCGGCTTTTCAATTTCCTAACTAAATCGCAGACGGATTCGAATTTTCCAGCCCACCAAAGTTTCCATGCTTAGGTCTTTATCATAAGCTCTATTAGAGCCAAGGGTTAACTTACATCAATGTATATTACAGTACTCATCTACTATACTAGTCTGCTGGCCCTTAACTGTCCAGCTGTTCTTCGCTTCGAAGCTAACTGCTTGCTGTCTTCCACGCTGTTTTATAATTTATTTAATTAAATACCTACTTTCGCAGTCTGGTCAGTTTTGCAGTTCGTAGCGTCATTCTAATTATACAACTGGCCACTTTTCCAGTTGCTTTGACCAATGATGTTGGCGTTCTTTTTTTTCCCCCTGGAATGACTAGTAGCTAAAGATTTCTTATTCGAACAAATTAATCATATTGTTGAGCAACTAGCAGGTTGTACTGGTAGGGTACTGTACTGATGATTCTCGCCCTTATCCGCATTTAATTTCTGTCTGCGTTTCTTACCCTGATAACAATTTCCACTATGGCTTATTTCCTGAATTACTGATCGAGTTCGAGACGGAGATGTTCATATAAA